AAATATTAGCCAAAAATTTTCTTCTAACATTCGTGAAAAGAAATTTAGAAGAAAAAGAAATTCGACTGTAAAAATACTTAAATCTTGAATAATTATTATTCTATTTATTTAGTGGGATCAGAAAATGCCCATCAGAGATTTATATTAAGTCGTGGCTTATTTTTGATGATTATAATGAATAAATTGCAATTCATTACTTCATAAATTAATAAATAAAATCGATAAGCTTATCCTACATATAGATGTACATGAGATGTACACAAATTATATGAGCAATTTTTGTACATGCATTCTAATCAACTTTTCTGTTTAATTATTAAATATTTATTCGAATATTTCATGCCCAATATATACACCCAATGTATTTTCTCTTTTTTACATTTTTTTTTTTTTAAATACACATACAATGTTATGTATATTACAAAATATTCGATACCTTCAAGCGTTCCTTTGATTTTTATTAATTTAATAAACACGTTTCGTTTCAATTTTTCCTATATTTCTTTTTATTTTATCACTATTATTAGTATATCGAAACAAATCGATGAAACAATTACCTGTAAATTAATATCAGAATTTTAAATTATCTTAAAATTAGAGAAAAAGAAAAATTAGAAAAATTAGTTAATAAACTATCAAAAATAAAATATATATTCTCGAATATTTACCTATTTAATCTGGAATAGCGCTTCTATTAGAAAAATTGGATAAAATTCAATTTTTGAATAGGAAATGGTATTTGAGAGACAAATGTTGAGATCGAATTTTCGAATTACTGATCGATTAAACACACAAGCGTTATTCATTGGCATTCGTCCGATTAAAATGAAAGTCTTTCACTGATTTTCCATGATTTATCGGATCGCAGCCTCCAAGCGGTCGCATTCTGCGTGCATTTATCGGTTGCAGTGGCAGTAACTTACACCGAGTTTCAATCGAATCTACTCGATTACGCGAGAACCGACCACATTTTCCAATTCCAGAATTCGGGTTAACCGTTTCCTTTGACGCGGTTAGTTGGCCGTTGTCTAATGAAATTACACTCTGAGAACGTCTCAAATTGTACGAGACGTGCTGTTTTGTAATTCGAATCCGTCACGTTGTCGTGCAATGCTTTAGTCACACGAATTCGATCAATTTTCAAAAATTTCATAAAAGAACAGTGATAATGAATAAAATCGAATTGTTAGAAATATACATTTTCTTCTAATATTAATTTTATTTGTGTGATAATTGAATTAATCGTATTATAATTATGATATAACATTGAAAAGCAAAAATTAGTAGAAGCAACATAAAATTCCAAAAAATGATGTACTCTTCAAAAATAGCAATTTCTTATTGACTCGATTTAATTCATGTTAAACGTATAACTTTAAATTATTATAATATCTTAAATATTTGATAATGATATCAATTTTATTTTTCTTCGTCAAACGAGCAAGAAAACTTCCATTCCAAATATTCTATGGATCGTCACATGTTTACATTCGTTTGGAAACCATTCGATCGCCGAACATTTTTCCCAGCGATGAATGCCTTCCAATAAAACTCTGATTCATCACTCACTTTCCAAATATCCCGCAGGAACTTCCCAAACAAATATTCATTTGCCATTTATTCGCTTATCGTGGTCAACATCCAATTGTGAGTTTCCAGGATTCTATCTTTTTCTTCTTTCTCTCTCTCTCTCTCTCTCTCTCTCTGTCTAATCCTTTTATCAACCATTTATCGATTTTTGGAAAGGCGTATGGAAAGATACGATACCATCACGTGCAATCTTCAAACTGTATCCGTCAATTCTGTGTCTCGAGGAGAAGAGATTCCGGTTACAAGCGGAAACCGTTTCAGGACGATTACTCTGAAGACTTTCACGAGCTGGCTGCATTATTCATGTTTTCCAGGCGTGGATCTACATGGGAATCGTCCCTGCTACGCTCGTGTATATCGTGGTTGATTTACAAAGCAGATTATTGGCGGCGTTTCCTTTCGTCGCGGAACACCGATGATTCGTCGCAGGTTTCTCGCGTGAATTTTTTTTCCTTTGAACGAAGTTTATTGGAATTCATGGAAAAGAAGTGAATATCAGATTATGAATCGATGAAGTGTGATTCGGTGGGGTAAATTTATTGAGTAAATAAGTATTTAAATAAAGTATCGAGTTATTTATAGATAATTATGTTTCTTATAGGATGAATTGATACTTACTTAGAGATACTTACCATATTTTTAATATACAAAAGATCAAAGGAGAATCATAGAAGTAGATAGATATAGATAGAAAATGGAACAGTGCTATAATTTCATATTATTTTAAATTATTTAATATTTCAATACATTAATTATAAATTTTTCCCTTAAATATTATAATAATTTTAATAATCTGATTTATATCATTATGATTCTCATCAAAATAATTTCATATTTTTGTACCTTATTCTTGATCGTCTATATATATAAAATAATAAAACAAAATTAATCTTCTTCCATGCATCATATTTCACGAGATTAACTGTTCCAGTTTCCTTCGCTCAAGATAATCGAATCATAATTAATTCATTCTCTAGATTACTTTCCATATTCATCAATGAACCAGGCAGTCATGTTTTCGCGACATTTCGAAAAACAGGGATTCGGCACAACTAATTCAGAGAGAGTAACACGCGAGCATGCATGTTATCTCCCTCGAAACTTCTGCCAGCGATCAAAACGAATAATTTAATGAATCGCGAATGTCCTTTCCTATTATGAATTAATGAAACGCTATTGTAGCGAAACTTTATGATTTGTATATTTTTTTTGTGAAAAATATTCTATTTTGTCGATAATTTAATGAATTGGGAATCCGTTCTATGGATCAATGGAACGTCGTGCAATTGTCGTGGAATTTCATATGTTATATAAGATATATAGATTATTTTTGAGAAGAAATTTAATGTTTGAACATTTTTCAATATTGATGGTATCATCTAATGGTATTTTTTTCTTTTGCTCGAGAGAAAATTCCATGAAATTTTATTGTTAATTGTGAAATAATTAAGTATCGACGTATTACAATTATAATTTATTTCGCATACGTCGAATATATTTCAACAGAGGAATGTTAAATAGATTCTGTTAGTAATGGGACGTGTTTTACATTTATGTACAAACGAGAAAAAAATCGTGTCGTTCTGGTGTAATAGGCATCCTCGACGTTGATTGACACAGTCATCGTCGATCTCTCGTATCGAACATCATTTGTCAGTGTCTTCTACGTAACAGCACAGCATATGCATCGATGGTCTGTGCATCTGTGAAATTCATTCGAAATATCATTTGCTGGCTCGACAGAGATTAGGCCTCTCTGGTTCGAACAATCGTTCTTCCTATTGTAAAAAATATTCATTAATTATAATTTATCAATTAACAAAATTCAATTCTTCGATCATTTCCTATTTTTACCATGTCAAAACATATTCAGAAACTTATAGGATTATCCAATCGTGTTATAATTAAAAGGCAAAGCACAATATGCCAAATTTTTCTCTTTAAATTCCTATCGTTTCTATCATTCGAATATCGACTTCATTTAGTTAATCGTGTAATTACATATTCAACACGAACCTATTGTTTCATTTCATCTAAATCGTGGGCAATTCATCACATTATTACAACTGGGAATACTTGTTCTGGATTAATGTCCTAAATTAACCCGGGGCCATTTAAACACGTTCGATCCCCATTTTGCCACAGCTTTAATGAACATGAATTTCCAAGCAAAGGTTTTAAAATCTATCCTCTATATTTCCGGTTTATGTTATGTCTCATACAACGTGGTATTGTAATAATATGCTTATAATAATCAATTAATAAAATAAGATCCATTATAGTGCAAACGAAATTAACGAATGTCATGTGTATTATTGATGAAGGCAACAACAAAGGCGATGCTAACATTTTCTAATTTTAGAAATCATTCCATTCAAATTCGATTAATAATAAAAATTTAATGTGAAAAGCAAACATTCGTGTTAATTATTTTTTCATTGTCCTATTTATTTTTAGCTTATGATTCGAAGAGATTTGGATTTACTCGAAAAATCGAATGATTTTGTGAATTGAAAATATTGCAGATTTTTTTGTATATTTGATATTAAGATCGTACAAATTGGAGAATTATTATGAATCGCAAAGGGAAGGAAGATATCTTTTACCATCAATTGAATTGTTAATTTCAATATTCTGGATTGTTTGGAATGAGATAACTGACGATTTCTACGTATAATAATATTCCCGATTACAAAATTTGCATATCTGAAAACGAAACAAATTGCAGCGAATAACTAATAATATTATTGGACGAAAATTATATAGTTATTTTATTCATATATTTGAATGATGCCTACTAAATTCTTCCCCAGAAACATTTCATCATCATGAAACTTCATTAAACGTATTCAATTAATATAATTTGATAATAAAACCCTCTAAGTTTTCATTAATGTTAAATCATACGAGATCTTGAACGAAATATCGTTAAAAATGATATTTAATCATGATTTAATAGGTTTGTATTTGCTCGCAAGCAGTTTATACAGTTATTACATACCAATTAATTGCGTTATTAATTAAATACACAAATGAAATTATCGAAATAATCGATTGCTAAACAGGATGAACAGTATTAACACACGTTACAAATTGAATATTTTTCTAAGGATACATTCGTATAAAATACAAATATACGTACAATCCATCTCCTCTTAAAAGCTATAAAATATATCTATCCTTCGTGATTTTCCGTGATCACACACAGTGGAAGCTGTGTGATACTTGTTGCGCTGGATGACTTTGATTCACCGCCCCGGTTCTTTTTTGGAAGGCATCACGTTAGTTATCGTGATCGGTAGATACGCGATAAGCCGCTTTGTCTTCGTTTCACGGCTTATCCCGTGTTCACGTATGTAAACAAAGACACCCCGTGTATGTGCTCTAATGAAACAACATCCCGTTTTGCATTCTTTTTTTTTTTTATACGCGAATCGAAAGGCTTTCAGCTAGGCTGTTTGCCTTGTTAACCGTGTCTCTGGCCACGTTTGAAGTTTACGGCCACAGCTCGATGCGTCGAACAAAAAACCGGCCAGAATTCGAGATCAAAAACTTGAATTTACATCGTCTCCGTTATTTCCGCTATCTATCCATCTTCCTTCATTCGCTTGTCCATTTAATCTCGTAATTGGCTTGAAGTCTGTTACAGAGGAGAAACGAGAAATAATTTTAGGGAAAATGGTGATGGAGCGATGAACATAGGGAAATATAAACGTGCGAAACGAACTTACGTGATATATTTCCGTGTAAGTAATTTCAGTTTCATAAAGGAAATTGTTTGGGGGGGAATTTTTTAAAAAATTAGACTCGAAGATGCTTTTAAGATTTTGTGAAGTCCGGTTAAAATTATGTGTATATTAATTAAAGAAATTTTAATAATATATTTAACAATGTTATGGAAAAGTGCGTGAAATTTTATTCTCTTCGTTATGAGACACGTCTGATATATGCATTTCTCTTTCACTTACAATAATACATATAACATTCACTTGTGTACAATTTATGAATTAATGAATAATCTTATAATATTATGAAAAAAGAATATATTTTCAGTCATATTTTGTTATTTGTGTATAGAAAATTGTATATTTACCAGAATTGTAATCAGGCTGCAAAGAGTTCTGTGTTAAAGAATCATTTTTCTTGACTTTCAATTAAATGCTTATGTGATAAAACTTTGTGAACTATCGTGAAATTCATCACGAACTTGTAATTGATACACAAAATAGGCGCGTTAAACTCAAACGGAACCGAAATATGTATATTCCCAATGGTTTGTACGAGGCTCGTAGGGGCTGTCCGAATTATCCTTGTTTTAATTAAACGGGATGATAAGTTTTAATTTAATTTATCCACGTTGAAATCGTACGTGAACATTTCGCGCAATGAATCTTCACGATACTGCTATCTATTATCACGATTATTATTTACTAAAGTTCATATGGAAATAATACCAGGAAGTATTATAGTAATAATATTTTGAATTCATTTCAAGAATTCATTTACGTATAACACTACGCGTATCACAGATCATAATATTTATATATAGGTATCTAGAAGTATGTCGAATTAATAATTAGTATTAAGAAACTCCATGAAATTTCCATAAATTCGCAATAAAATTTTTTAACAATAATTAAGCCTGTTCGAGCTTCTATGTTATTATCTTTTAAATATCATTTCGATTCGTAAAATTGAAAATCATCACAATTGACAAATTGATAATAATTTTCCACGAATTCATGAACATTTTATAATTTACAGAAATATACAATCTCTTCTGAAAGAGATTATCTCGAATAATAATTCCATCACACTAATTAGCAACAATCATTTCCCAGCCAAGAAACTTGTTTCCGTCAATCTAACGAAACCTCTAAATCGGCGTATTCAAGGCAAACAGTAAACCACGGGGTCCTGAATAATTTCTGCAGGCTATTTCATCCTCGATTGTTGATCTTGCCCAACCTCTTGCCTCGACCTGCATCCGAAGGCAATATTTCGGAGGTCGATTCTGCGGCAAGCAGAAGGGCGCGTTTTACGACCGTCACCCTCGTCCAACAATCGGTATTGCGAAGTCTCGAATTTCCATTCCCGATCGACACCATAAAACTCACCTGTGACACTCCCAAGTTTTGGTAGAATCGAACGATTCACTCCACGAACCGTGATTTCGTTCTTCGTGAACAACGAGAATATCAATGAAATTATCATTGTTTTCTTGGCATTCTTGATATTTTTCTTAGATTCCTTGATAAGAATTATTTCATTTTTGTTTTGATATAATAATTTTTTTTGGTATTTGAATTTTCGTAAATTTTAATCCAACAATTTATCACAGAACAATTTGCTTGTATCTAAGAAGTTAGATAGAAGGTTGGATTATTTAGGCTGTCGAATCTGGCCAGTTTCTCTAAGGAGTGTTTGTTCTTGATTTAGTGGGATGATATACAAGGAGTATGTTATAACAGGGTAGGCATACAGTATACGGGTTGTATGTACATATTTGAGTTTTATGATGGACGAAGAGAGAGGATATGGAAATGTGTTTGATGTTTATAATTGCAGTTGAAATTGACTTGAAAACTGAATACGTAGTGCTAATTTATAATTAAGGAGTGGGTACATGTAATATCTTTTATGATAATTTTTAATCGAGTACCATATTTGTAAATATATTTTAATTAAATATAAATATCTATTTGTAATGAGAAACTCTAAAAAAAAAAACTCTAACGCGATATTTAGAATAGAGATAAAAAGAATCATTTCGAAAAATAAATATTACCCTTTTTTTGCAAGAAACATTTATCTATACACAAATTTATAAAAACAAATTTAAATATAAATTGATGTTGATCGATTGACAAACATCAATTCCTTTGATCGTTAAAAAAATTGAATTGTAATTGCAAAAGAAAATTTAAAAAAATTTGACAACAATCTTATTAAAAGATTATTATCACAAAAATATAAATGACATAAATATAGATTTCAAAAGCAAAAGGCTTAACATAAAATTTTTAAATTGATTAAACATCTTCAACATAATAACATAGTAAAATTGTTATAATATTTTCCAGAAATAAACATATCTATTGCGTAATTTAACTTAAAATTCGATCAAATTCTATTAAAATTAAGAAAACTTTAAATCGTTATAGCTCTGAAAATAATGACTTCCAATCAATCAATGAACGATCATTAGAAGCGCTGAACTTTGCCCTTTAAAACGCTTTTTGATTTATCTCGATACGACTTCCGGTTCCCGAGATATCATCGTGTAAAGAAAAAGGTAATTTTGAACCGTTTATTATCTTCGTCCTTGTCGCTTATTCGGATCTCTCGCTCGCACCTTGTCTCACTAACCTATCTCAAATTCCAGACAAGCGACAGACGCGATTCCTGGAAAAACAGTACGCATTTCTAAGAAAAAATGTAGGTCAATGGATCGCGAGCCCCTATTCATAATTTTTACGCTGTGCTAATATTGACACTTTAAGTCTTTATATCTCAGCAACCGATTGAGATATCGGGATAAATCAAAAAGCATCTTCAATGGCATGATTTCCTCTATCTCTTGAGTCAATTTTGATGACAAATTTTTAATTTCTTGTCACATTTTTTTTATATGAAAAGTTAAAATTTCATGTTAATATTTTGATATAAAATATATAAGAATATTTATCTTATGTTTTATCTAATATAATTTTTTTTTTTGCTACTTTAGAAACTAATCTAATAATAAATCGATCAATTATTAATCGTCTTGTGGGAAAGGGACTTCATGTTATGAAGAAATAACTAAACCAATTCTCGCTATCTCTGTCCATAAATATCTCAGTGTCGATTTTTATTCCTCGCGCGGAATCGATCCCAACGTGTTATTGGTACAAAGGAATAAAAGATATCTGTGGCTTAGCGGAGCTATCATAAAGGAATATACACTGGGAAATGTATTACCTTCATCGAGCTTTGTCATGGAAGATGGCCACGTCTCCTCGGCGGATTCAATATCTTCCAGTTTCACGCTAAAACTGAAATTGTTGTCTTTAATCACACGAGGGTAGATTTCCTCGACTCGTGCGAACATCGGGACAGGTATGAACAATAATAGCTATTAGATGTGACACGTTAAATGGCAAACTTTTCTGATTTTGTGGACATATAGTGGATAACATATCTTTGTGGTTGATTGTGGTTATTTTGGAACCAATAGTGGATTGATAGTGTAATTTATTTAATAATTTTAAGATAACTTTTAAGATAGTTTGTTGAAAAATGTAGAAAATGAATATGAAAAATATTCGTAAATTTATTAAATTTATTATATCTTTCTCTTCAATATATCCGTGTCAAAATTTATAAATATTATCTGCTTCTTTTATTTCTTTTATTATCGATAAATGTAATTTTTAACTTTTTAATTGTAAAAGAAAAAGTAATAGATTGATTTAAAAAATATGAAAGAGCCAAAAAAAAAAAAGTTTTTCATACGAATTCAATGATTTTCAATTAATGAAAGGTAATGCATTTGCAATTACAACAAAAGCAAATAATTACAAATTATAAGTATTATTTGATGATTCTATATGTATCGTCAATGAAGTATAATATTTTTATCGAATATTTCTCTCAGTTGATATATTTATATTTCATTTAATTATAAAATAACATCGTCCTATAAAATCAAATTGAATATCTGAATGATATTTATTCATAAGCTTTAATACATAATATTTCCATTATAAAATAAATAGATAGAATAAATACTGAGACGATCAGATTCTGCTTTATAAAATATTTGAATAACGCAAATATTGCATAAATATTTAAGTAACGCATGCAAGATTTTAACGTTCCCAATTTCCAATGTTCTTCCCAAAATAAAAATAATTCCTAATTTGAAATTTTTTTTATCCTCATTTTATTCAATTCTATTCGCGTCTAAGGATAATTATTTCGATATAAAATTCGTTTATTACACGATCAGACGATATGAATAGGAATCAAAGGAGTAATTTCCGATAAAATCTCGAATAACATGCGTTCTGAATAATGGCTTTTAATAATACTATTTGAGTATCCATAACTCAGCACACCTAGAACTGACTCGGTAACTTTTGCTTCACTGATAATTCCCCTATTCATCATTCTTTTCACACTTCTTCGAACCAAGCTCTGTTCATCGAGAAGGAATGGCTCGAAGCCTATCAGAAGCGTCTAGAGCTCGAAAAGTGCAACAAAAAAAAAGAGAATGGTGTACAGTATTCTCGGAAATTGCTCTCATAAAACAAATTAATTTTTATCATCGATGTATCAAATTTCGTGCAAGGAAATACATTTTTTTTTTTTTGCTATAATGAAACCATGTGTTACATCGAATTTTAAATATAATTAAATGACACGAATATTGTGTTTCTTAAATTAAGTATCAGCGACAATGTTTCTATGAAAATACTTCGTACATTTTACATTTTAACGAAGAATAGATCAGTTTTTGCTCGAAGATTCGGTCTATTTTATGAATTAAATATTTAAATAATATTAAGAAGAAATATCTGTAAAAAAAATAAATTATATTAGATTATATTAATCAAAAATATTGTTTGAAAGAAATATAATAATAATTCAGAAGGATTCTTAGGGAAATTTTTAACATTTACAATAATTCCTTTTTAGAATAAAAAGAATAAAAAAATACTTAGACTTGTTAATGAATAAATTATATGTTTAACAATAGAATAGATTCAATTTGAGTTTAAATAAATCATCGTTATTTTCACGAATGTGATAGTTTATCAAGTGAAAACATAATATTTTAATTCATTCTAACGTGAAATACGAGATTCCTGTATTTTTCGTAAAATGTG